ACAATAGCTAAACGTCCTTGTGAATACATTTCATTTCCTTACAGAAACTCAACTCCTATGAATTTAGCCTATTATGGGATATGAACTTAAAAAAATTCTTGCTTATGATTTATGGCAAAATTGTCTTTCAGAAGGGTTATACACATTTACACTCCCACCAGCAGTGTGTAAGAGTTCCCATTTCATAACGTTTTGAGAACACTTGGGCCACCTGAATTCCCAACATGAGAGGCTCATTGATCTGCCTGGGTCTGGCCTGGACTCTGGCTGCTGTTCTTGGTAGAAAATTTCATTTGTGTCCTTCTGTGGGTGAAAAAGAAGAATCAACCCGCCACAGCAAATGTAAAAGGAATCAGGTATCACCAGTATTACAATCACTGAGCTTCCCCTAGGAGAAGAGAAGATTCACCAGCACCTTCCGCTGCCCAGTTCACAGAAAAAAAAAAAAAAAAGAAGACATTGATACACGTATTGATTTAAATCATATTAGTGGCTCTGATAAAAGTGTATCTTATGTGTTCCCTTTTCCATGAAGAAAAGTAGCCCATGAAAACTTGCTTACTTTTAGAAAGACCAATAAAATTTTAAGTCCTAAAATAAGCTAAAGTACAAGTGCATACATTCTCCAAAATTAAAAACATCTATGTTCTCTGATACAAACACTAATCACATCTGATCCCATTAAGCTTCTGTCTGTGTTCTGCTAAGGATACAATAAAGCTTGTTAAGCACTACAATTTGTACACATGCCCCAAAGAGAGAAGTTACCATGTCAGGCTGCTCTGTGACACAAGGTTCAAAATGAAACAACCTTTTATCACTTGACAAAATCCTAAAGGCGACATTTCACTTGAAATAAATAGTAAGGCTAAGTCAATTCCATTCTAAGAGCTTTTGGCTGCTGGTGTTCTTATGGTAAGCATTAGCATTCAGGCCAGTGAGCTAGCTCAGCAGGTAAAGATGATTGCTCCAAAGTTTAAACCCGCATTGTGTCCCCAGGACCCACATGACACAAGGAGAGAACCAATTCTTACAAACTTTCTTTTGACCTCCACCTGAGTGCCATGTTAGGTACAAACACAAATAAGTAAATGCAAACATTTAATATAGTTAAAAGTCGATAATAATAATTATTAATTTTTTAGAGGATCAGCATTTGTAAGAACCTCTATAACTGTCAATTTGTGACTGATGACCTCTTGCCAATTTTAGGATGGGAAAGTATTTCTCCATTTCTGATGACTGACATTATCCAGGAAGATGGTTTACACCAGGCATTTTTATTAAAAACAAAAACAGAAATGCCCATAACCTCCAAGTGGTAGAGAGGCCACTCGGCAATCAGAAAACCAGGTCACATGCACCTGTCAGGCAGCAGGAAGGTTTTCTTATCTCGGTTCCCTTACCAGTGTCCTCACCAGCTGAACACTTGGCAGTTTTGTGTGTAACCTCCAGAGATTTCTTCACTCAAGGAGATCCAAAAGAAATACCATAGAATAAACATCACCTGGGGAAATTTATCAAGACTCTGCTGCAGAAATTGAGGAGGACAGGAACTGATTTCCATCTTCCGCTGCTGGCAAACATGAGATCCGCCACATGGAACAAGCACCTGACTGCTTTTCCCAAGTGCCCTTGAATTTTTTTTATTCTGGTAACATTCCACAATTTTGATTATACTGAAAACGAAGATGACAAGTGTGGTGATGTATACCCATAATTCCAGCATTTGAGCAGGTGAACTGGAAGTTCAGTACCTGTCTGTGCTATGTAAACCAGGCCAATCTGGACTACACAGCAAGACTCCATCTCATAAACAAATCATGAATTCATCCATGGTTTTAATAAAGCAAATGGAGGAGCACCCTACATGTAAAGAGTGAACAGCCTTCACCCCATACAGTCAGAAACAGGAGACAGTTTTTAATGTATCAAAAGATAAAGACTCTTGAATCAATGTGTGTATGAGTTGCCTACAGTTGCTATAACAAATCACCACAGGCTGCATGCCTTACAGCAACAGTATTTTTCAGTTTCATAAGACAGAAGTCCAAAACTGGGATGTGAGTGGTAGTGTTCTTTCTGGAAGCTCTCAAGGGCGAGCTGTCCTGCACGGCTCCTCCCAGTTTCTCCTGGCTGACAGCAATCCTTGACATGGCTAGGCTCATGGCTGCATCCCTCCAATTTCTGCCTCCGTCTTCACACAGCCATGTTCCTTCGGTCTGTGAGTCTGTCTCTCATGACCTTCTTACAAGGACACCAGTCAGGCTGCATCTAAAGTATATCCTAGCCCAGGGTCACCTCATCTTCACTAAATATACCTGAAAAGATCCCATTTTCAAATGAGGACAGAAAACAGGGCTGGGTGGACAGGAGTTCCAGAAGGACATATCCAGCTCTGTACATGACACTGGCCACACGTTAACTATCTACATGATCTGCGAAGAGGTAAGTGCACATTCACACTGCAGTCTGTCTTCTCTTGTCTGTTGTATCCACATCAGCTGCACACGATTCCCAGTCTGTCTGCTGAGTAATGAGTGAAGGAGCCTTTGATGTAGGACCAAGGCCTTTCCTTGGAGTGTGACATATGAGTCACAGCCTTCACGATAAGCAAGATCTTTAAAAGACAGAATGCTTAGCCAAAGCTACAGTCTTTACCCCTCACTAATCACTGGAAGCCTGGCATTCCTGGCCATACCTCTCCTCACAGGCTTTCTATCGAGTCCACAAATGTGCTGACTTCCAACGTTTGAGACTTACTGATTTAGTTACTTTTCCTGTTGTGACAACCAAACACCCAATAGAAACAACCTAAGAGTAGGAAGGATTTATTGTGTTCAATGTTGCATAGGATCGAGAGAGAGAGAGAGAGAGAGAGAGAGAGAGAGAGAGAGAGAGGCGCAGAGGAGTTTAATTGGTTTTCTTCTTCCTCCCCTTTTATTTCATAGGTGGATCCTTCCCCTTAGTTAAGTCTCTCAGATACACCCAGAGGTGTGCCTCCCCAGTCTCCTAGGTGACTCTAAATCCAGTCAGGCTGACCATGAAGATGGACCATCTAATCACACGCACGGCCACTTCCCTTAGTACTACTCACAGCACGAGCATCATGTTTCAACACATAGGTCAGCTCCAACTCTTAATCTTATTTAATATTAACGAAAATAACTGTCTTTTAATTAATTCATTTAAACCCCTCAGAACTGGTGGCATTTTCACTCATTTTGATTTGTGTCAACTTACTAATGTCCCCCTGAAGTACAGTCTATTCAATGACTTGCTAAATGAGATGCAATCTAGCTGGAGGTGAGGACTTGGGTTCTCCTGATTCTAGGCTGCCTGCTGGGAACACATTCTGAGGGAATATCTAGCAGATGATGTAAGAGTCACCAGGAACGACCTTACCTCAACATTCATTCCTCAAGAGTCAGGAAAAGTTTTTTCTGAACTAATCTCAAAAGGACATAGAATTTGTGTGTATAAGTGTATGTGTTCATGTGCGCACAGGTGCAAATGTGTACACGTGTGCACATGTGGAGACCAAAGGACAATCTTGGGTGCTTTCCTCAGTCACCATCAGCTTTGTTATTTGAGATAGGATTTTTCACTGGCCTAGAATTCACCAAGTAGGCTAGGCTGGCCGGTCAGAAAGCCCCAGGGAACCGGCCTGTCCCCAGTACTGAGATTAGCATCATGAACCACCACCCCTGGCTTTTTTATGTGGGTTCTGGGCACCAAACTCAGGTCCTCATGCTTGCGTGGTAAACACTTTACTGACTAAATATCTCCCCAGTGAGCAACATAGAATTTTCAATAAACCATCCATACTCTTTCCCAGAAGCCAAACAGGAAGCGGGTAACCCACCAAGTTACGGTCACATAGGTTGTAGCAAGGGCTGTCCTTGCAGTTCCTAGGGATCAAGAGGATCAAGTGCTGGATAGCTTTAGCTGTCAACTGAACACACTGGGTAGAGGGAGCGTCAGCTGGTGAATTACCTCCACAGGGCTGGCCTATGCCATGTCTATGGGTATTTCTTGATTTTTGAGTGATGTGGGAGGGCCCATCCCACTGTGGGAGGTGCCACCCCTGGGCAGGTTATTTTCTATTGTATAAGAAAGCAGGCTGAGAGGGGGCCAGAGGAGCAAGCCAGTCAGCAGCGTTCCTCCGTGGCCTGTGCTTCAGCTCCTGCCTCCAGGTTCCTGCCCTGAGTTCCTGCCTTGGGCTCCCTCAGTGATGAACTGTGACCTGGGCGATGTAAGCCAAATAAACCCTTTCTTCCCCCAAGTTGGTATTGATCAGAGTGTTTTATCACAGCAGTTGAAAGCAAACTAGAACAGATCTGAAGGTGGAATCACACGAACACTCAAAGGGATCAGTGGCTATTTATCAGCTAATTTGTATTATTAACTAGTAAGAGACGAAATACCAGGGAGCAGGGGTGGGAGATGGTTCAGCAGTGAACAGTACTTTCTGATCTTCCAGAGGACCCAAGTTCAGTTCCATGGATCCACGCCAGGTGGCTCACAATCACCGTAATTCTAGCTCCAGAGAACCCAGCACCCTCTTCCAAGCCTCCACAGGCAGCAGCACACATGTGACAGACACACACATATATCAATAAAAAATTTTAAATATCGTAAAAGAGATGAAATACATAAGAGAGAATAGTGGGCATTTTAGACTTTGCATGAAGTGTGTGTAACCATTCGGCTCTGCCACTGCCTTACACAAGCGGCTACAGACAGTGCACAACCATGTTCCAGTAAAACTAAAAATGAGGAGAGATGGCTTGTGGGTTGAAATCTGTCACCCTTTCCCTACAATGTGCAGAATTAACAGTCCTAAAGAACAGTCAAATTTTCAGCTTCATCCTCATTTACACAGTGTTGATTTGGCCAGTCATGACACTCTTCAATGCATACTTGATGTTTATAGACCCCAAAAGATTAAGTCAAAGTCATCAGTCAAACCACCATACCCCTCCGATTAAGACACTCACCCAGAAAAATCTGTACTGAGAACTCCATAGTGGAAGATGTATACTCGGCTGATGTGGCATATCGTAAGGTATCCCATCGAGACAAAGAAAGAGTACCTGAAATCACAAACACGGGTGAGCAGATTAACATGCATGACAGGCAGGTGCTCAGCAAACATTCTCTTTGTCTTCTCTCTCATCCTCTGCAAGCGATTGGTCACAAAGTCCCAAGTGTTGCAGTCATCCCAGCCTACTCCTTCTGACCTTGCCACTCCCTCCTCTGAGCCCTGCAGCCCTTCTCACCTGGACTACAGCAGCTACTCTTTGACAGCAAAAGGAGATCAACTGGGCAGCTTTTCAAACTGCAGATGCCTAGACTCTGCCTCCGGCTATTGAGGTTTCACTGGTACTGGGTGTGCCTGGGCAGGGGTGATTCCAAGTGCACTCAAAGCTGGTAACCACCAACCTGCGAGTTCTTGGACTCAGGTTCTTTTCACAAACTATGACGTTTACTAGCAGAACTTCACTCAATGCCAATCACCACCACGCTGATGACCACTCCTGTCTGTACACACTGTTCACTTGACTTCCACGCGCCTTGATTTTGTCTCACACCTCTAGTCAATTCTTTCAAAGCTCAGCTTACCTCTTCCACGTGTTCCTCGGGTGTTAGCACCCGACCACCCTGCCCCAGATACCTCAGGTATCCATTTCCTCTTACTCAAGAGCACTCCCTGGGGTCTTTCGGTGAAATGGTACAAACTACATTACAGTATGAACCAGCAGTGACACGGGCAGCACACACTGAGAAACTTTTATATATGTGTTTCTTAACATTCATAGCATTTATGAATTTATAATTATAAAAAGGTACAATAATCTATGCAATAGAGAGAATGTATCCCTTCACCATGTGTATGTTGAAATCCTAATCATCAATATAATAGTATGAGACTCTGGGAAGTGATTAAGTCATAAGGGTAGAGTCTAGAGAATGGGGTTACCCTTTTAAAAGGAATCCAGAGGCCTATTGTGGTGGTGCACAACTATAATCCCAGGACATGAGACATAGAGCCCAGAGGATCAGGAGTTCAAGGTCATCCTCAGCTACATAGCAAGTTTGAACCCAACCTAGGCTACATGAGATCGAAAGGGGTAAAGGGTATCCAGAGAGCTTTCCCACTGTTCCTACCATATAAGGAAACAAGAAGACAACCCCAGAGACCTACAAAGCTGGTTGACATGGGAAAACTAACTCCATTTGTTCTAGCTGACCTTCCCCTTACCCTGTGTTTTTGCCCACCCATTTCCACTGTAGCCAGGCACACAAAATGTCTTATGCAGGTAGTTTCAGGGACTGCATTGTTTCTACATTACTGGGAAACTTACAAGTAGCCAGGTAGCTCGTCCAAATAGAACTGCTTCCCTTCCCAGCTATACCTGCATCTCTATAAGGGCAATTGTTTCTACAATTCTGAGAAACTTGTTTTTTCCTTATCAAAACTTTTTCTTAACTGAAAACCTCTTTGTTAACTGACCTGCCCCTGGTCTGGTGTAACTATGGTGATCTGATGTAACTATGGTTATTGGTTTTGCCCCTGGCATGATGTAATTGTGGTTTTAAGCTTATAAACCCCATCCTGCTTCTCCTCGGGGTCAAGAGTTCTTTTGGGCATGAACCCCCTCTCTGACTGCCAGCTATTAATAAAGGACTCTTGATTTAACCCCCCCCCAAAAATAAAAAATGGTGTGGCATTTCTTGCTTGGTATTACATGGTAAACCTCTGACTTTCATCCTCCAGAGATATGATGTGCTGGTTAGTTGTTAAAACAAATTTTAGTCATCTTGGAAGAAGGAACCCCAACTGAGGAATTCCCTCCAACAGCTTAGCCTGTAGGGCATTTTCTTGTTTGCTAATCGATATAAGAGGGCCCAGCCCACTGTGGACAGTGATATTCTTATCACTGAGCTTTACAAGAAAATTAGCTGAGCCAGCCAGGGGAAGTAAGTCAGTAAGCAGCATCCTACCACAGTCTCTGCTTCAGCTCCTGCTCCATGTTCCTGCCTTGATGTTGGACTATAAAATGTAATATGTAATAAACACTTTCCTTCCCAAGTTGCTTTTTGGTCATGGCGTTTACTGCAGTAACAGAAAGCTAACTAGAACACATGACAAACAAATTTCTATTATTTATGAGTCACCTAGCTATAGTGCTTTGTTAGAGATGCCTAAATAGACTAAGACAATCTGATTAGCTACAGCCCCCTTCTTGACTGTAAGTTCCACGAAGGCAAAGATGTGCCTTTGTGTTCTGTTTACTGTATCTACCTACTATGTGTTTCATGAACATACAACTATGTGAGTGCTACTTTTCTTCAAAGTGTCTAATGGATCCCACTGTCAAGTCAAATCAAAACTCCTAAGCACAGCATGCAAGTATCTCACCTCTGTAAACCCTTCTCTAGGCATGCTCCATGTCCCTCTAATGGTTCTATTATACCAGCCTGCCCACGGTTCACAACAGCGCCCTGTGTTTTCAGACCAGATAGCTTTCTGTACACACCATCCTCTACGTGTCACTTTTCATTCCATGTACGAACTGCTCCAATTATCAGACAAGGTTCAGTTCCCATGCCACCTCTTCACTGTCATTCACCTTGGTCTTGCTCCAGACATCCTACATGTGATGGTTGACTTGATTGCCAGCCTGACTGGATTTAGAATCACCAGAGAGACATACCTCAAAACATGTCTAGACTTACCCGTGAGAGTGTTTCTAGACAGGATTACTGAGGGGCGGGGGATGGGGGGGATAGCCTTCCATGTGAGAGGCAGTTTCCAATAGGCAGTCCAGAAATGAAGAAGCCTGGGGTAAAAGCAGCGTGCATGCACCTGTATCTTTCTGAGTGAGTGCATCTACCATTACCACTGACATCAAACTCGGCTTCTTCAGCTTCCAAGGTGGGCTCGGGGCCCGAGACTCCCCAAGGCGCTTTAGGCTCTCAGTGCCAGATCAGGACTGCTGAGATGTCAAAGTTTCTAAATTAAATAGCTACTGGGTTCTCTGCTCTTCCAGCAGATGGCCATTGTTGGACCACCTAAGCCTCTATCATGTAAGCCAAACTAATAAATCCCCATTCATGTACACACACACACACACACACACACACACACACACACACACGTTCTATTGGTCGTGTTCCTCTGGAGAGTCCTTCTTACCACTCTAACCCATCTCTTGCTTCCCAATCCTGGTATAATTAATTGTTCTGTTGCCTGAATTCTTCTACCACAACATGCTCACATCTATAATTGTACATTTTAAATTATCCATATCTCCAGGCGTGGTGGGCATGCCTTTAATCCCAGCACTCGGAAGGCAGAGGGAGACAGATCTCTGTGAGTTGGAGGCCAGCCTGGTCTCCATAGTGAATCCAGGCCAGCTAGGGCTACAGGAAGACTCTGTCTCAAAAAGACCAAAAAAAAAAAAAATCCATATCAATGTCTGTTTCCCCAACTCTCTGCACCCTTGAGCACCCTCAGCCCTAAGCTTGACACACAGGAGGGCATCAGTGACTATTAGCAGAAATGAACTAAGATAAATACATTTAATGTTTTAAATGTCTCAGGAATCAACCAGATTCACATGTAAATTCAGAAGTTGTAACTTTTAACATGTGTCATAAACCAGGGAAGATGAATATTCTGACATTAAATTGCATTGAAATTCATAGTCACATTAAAATAACTCATAAATTCTAGGTCAACTCAGGAAGTAGTAAAGTAAGGATAATTTAAAAAAATGATTTGGTTACAAGGAGAGCCAGATAGGCAGGGTAAAGAAGTCCCTAATGTTGAATATTATACATTAGGTTCTCTTTACTATCATTTACAGAGAAAGATATTACAGACTGGTGGGCTGGAGAGATAGCTCAGTGGTAGGGCACATGCCTGGCAGATAAAAAGACCTGAATCTTATCCTCGGTATCACCAAAAGAAGAGAAAAAGGAAAAAAGGAAAGAAAACATTGGGAGTTGAATGGCCGTAATCAGAAAGTGCAAAGTCTGAAATGGTCCAAAATCTAAAATCCACAAAAAACTGAGTGTCATATCAGCCTTCAAAGAGTTCCAGACTGCAAAGCTTTTCAAATGTCAGGGCTTTGACTTCAGATCTTTGACTACTGAAGCCTATTCTTATATTCCAAAATCTTACCGCCTCCAAAATCAGTAACACTGCTATGCCAAGCATTTTGGATAAAGGGTACTCAATCTATACTAGTCAAAAAGCTTTTTCGGTTGGGGGGGTGGAGACTGGAGCAATGGCTCAGCGGTGTTAAGGGCACTGGTTGCTCTTGCAGAGGACCTGGATTTGATTCCAACACCAACATGGTGGCTAGTAACTGTTGTAATTGCAGTTCTAGGGGCTATGATGCCCTCTTCTGACCTCCATGGGCATTGCAGGACATGGGTACACTTACACACATGCAGGCAATACACTCAAACACATAAAAATAAAAAAATAAATAAAATACATTTTTTGAAAAGATTTTTTTCCTTACCTTAAACTCATCCTAAACCCTTTCCAACCAGGAAGACAATCCACAAAGCCAATAACCAAGACCAAACTCCATTAGCAACTGGAGAAGCAGTCTACAGAGGCAGGCGATATTGCCTCTCACATCCATTCTCTCTCTCCAGCCAGTTCATAAGCTCAAGGCAGAAGCACAAAGCAGATTCAACAGATAACAGATTCTTCTAGAATCAAGTCAACTATAGCCCTACCTGCTTCTTTCCTGGTTGAAGGGCTAAAGATTCAATCCAATGGATGTACTCACACCCCAGCTGTCATGGATGGGGCCAAGTGTTGAGTCCTAATATAAGAGGGCAGGGCATTCCTGCCCTGGCAGAACCAAAAAAATCTAAGGAATCCAGGTGTGGTGCAGAAAAAAAAAAAAAATGAATGCAATGTGGAGAAAGTGCAATAGGATCTAAAAGCCCAGGACCCATAAAGTGATCTGCGGTGTGAGAAGGTGGCAAGTGGTTCTATTCAGAAAGAGGGGTGTGGCAGAGCTTGGAACAGGACAGATGGTAATGTTCTCTTGTTGACCTGGCTCAGTGTATTCTCTTTAAAACATTGTCAAACTGCACTTACTTCCACGAGCATTCAGTTCCTCAACTCAGAAAACTAAAATCCATATTCTACAGACTTGTTTTAGAAGGAATATGTTAGATTAAACATTAACTGATATATTAACCCTTTATATATATCAAGAATAATGAATTTTTTTTAAAGAGCTTAGCCTAGACCTTAACACAAAGCAGGGTCTCTAGAATTGATTACACCACCAGTTATTTCACAGCGCTTCCAACCCAGAAGATACAAACCAGATTCTGCCTCATTTGGCCCCATGAGGGAAACTGATGCTTGTGGTTCCTGCTTACAGTGGTTTGGGATGGAAACTGAGGTGGCACTTCAGGACCTCTCACAAAACATCCTGAGTAACAGCTAGGCCAGAAAAGGGTTAATTTCACAAAGCAGCAAACACTATCTTTCCCCATCTCCTCCAGCCACAAGACATAACTCTCAACACAGTGCAAACAGGATCATGAAATCACAATCTTGAATTTGCATTCAAGAGGACTGGGGAGATTGCTCAGTGGGTAAGAGCGCTTGCTGTTCAAACATGAGGACCTAAGTTCGAAACCCCAGTATTCATGTAAAAAGTTGAGCATGGCTGCCCTCACCTATAATCCTAGCACTCAGGGGGTAGAGACAGACAGATTCTGGAAACTTGCTAGACAGACAGCCTAGCTAAACATCAGGCAAGCTCCCAACTCAGTGAGAGACACTGTCTTGAGGCAGTGAGGTGGAACTCAATAGAGGAGGATACTGGATATTCTGTTCTGGTCTCCATATGTATGCCCACCTGTGCATGCACTACCCACATATACAAACCCCTCCCACATACACACAGTTATCCATAATCATTTATAAATAAGCATACAAAAATTTTTCTTAAAGTTTTTTTTAAAGAATTGGCATTCAAACTCCAAACCCCACATCTCTAGGGGAGGAGGGAATCTGACACACTGCAAGGTTATCTCACCTATCCGGATTTCAGATTTTCGAATTCCAGCCTGGTGTTCTTCCCCTGAGACAGCTGGAGAGGAAACAACTTTAGGATGTGGCTTAAATTTACATGGAGTTCTTCATTTGGGAACTGGATCACTCTCTACTTCTGCAATACTGGTAACCATTCAAGCAAACAGAAAGAGGAAGAACAGGTTTGGGCATCTTTCCCTTTTATTCTCATGGCTGAGCCCTTTGCTACCACAATATTACTGTGGTGAGACAGTTATCATGTGTCTGTGAACCACTCAGATCTGACCGAGTTGGAGTATTCCATACCCAGACAACAGGAAAGAACTATGGAACAAGCGCACATATAAGTTCTTGGCCCTCTGGAAAACTGAGTGCACCCCATCATAGTGTCCCCCAAGTGTGGGGAGAGCTGACACAATACCATGGGGGGGGGGTAACTGGAAATGTGCTATAAAAATGCAACATTATTATTATTAATCATTTAATTGCTTCCAAAAACCATGTTTAAGAAAAGCCAAGCAATGTCACTTGGCCCTTTCATGACTTAACAACAACAATAAAAAAGCTTGGGGTTAGAGAGATGACTCAGAGGCTAAGAGCACTTGCAACTCTTGCAAAGGACCCAGGCTCAGGTCCCAGCACCCTCTTCTGGCCTCTGTGGGAGTTAGGCACCCACATGGTGCACATACATATATGCAGGCACACACTCATACACATAAAAAAAAACATATTTTTAAATGATGTTATATGCATCACATAAACCATTTCTAAAGTCCGTTCTTTTCAAATTAGTAAAATGGACTTCCTAACTTTCTTCTAGAAGCAATGATACTATTACTTCAGGGAGAGCACTGAGAAGAACTATTTGGAATTCAAATCCAAGAACTCATTTGGATAAGTTGGCAGAGTATGAAGTTTAAAACCATGTAAAAAGATTTTCTTCCAAAAAACAAAAATTTATTCTAATTGCAAAATTATATATTGAAAAATTACATTTCAATGTATTTTAGAAGGAAAATTACTGTGGTGATGGCCTTATTAATCAAGGAGCTTACTGAAAAGGGAGCTTTTCAGACAAGCCATTAGCAAAGGAACCCTAAGAGTAGGTAAGTTTTCAAAGCACCTCGGTCATTCACTCCACAAATGTTCACAGAGCCTTTGCGCTTCGTGCTCCATGTTCTAAATGTTGAGGACACAACAGGAATCAGAGGGGCAAAGTCTCTGTATTCACAAAACTTAAATGCCAGGTGGAAAGATGGCTCAGCAGCTAAGAGCACACGTTGCTCAGGCAGAGGACCTGGGATCAGTTCCCAGCACCCGCAGGAGGTGGCTCACAACTGCACCTAACTCCAGTTCCAGGGGATCTGATGCACCTGCAGGCTCCTGGTGCACAGAAACTCACACAGGCATACATAAATAAAAATAAAGCTTTTTTAAAGAAACAACAACAACAAAAACCCTTACATTCTGGAGTCCCCTAAAGGCAGGGTCAACACTGGGTTTTCAGAAAGATCATGAGAAAGTCATTGTAAAATAGACACCCCCAGTCTCTCCACTGATCCTGCAATCATGTAGTCCTCAAAGAAGAATGAAATTGCTTCTGTGCTTTGAAATCGAACATCACAGCAAAACTTACCTCTTTCTTTTGAAATGAGTTTTGTTGTTGTTCTTGTTGTTTTGGGTTTTCTGGGGTTTTTGGTTTGGGGGTTTTTGTTTTGTTTTGTTTTGTTTTGTTTTTGAGATGGGTCTCCCTGTAGCTACTACTGCCCCAGAGCTTGCTATGTAGACCAGCCTGGCCTCAATTTCACAGTCTGCCTGCCTCTGCCTCCCAAGTGCCAAGATTAAAGGCATGCACCACCACACTCAGCAAAGGATTTTGATATACATAAATACTCAGAAAAACACCCCAAATCTGAGATTGGACTTTGTATCACCCCCTGGATATTTACACATGATTTTATGACCTTCTTCATCTTCCTGAGCCACACAACCCATACCTTCTGGTTACCTGTCACCATCAAGTTACTTGTGTTTCCTAGAATATAGTCTGTCTGGCTTCCTTCATTCAACCCACTTATTTGTGAGATTTGAACATGTCATTCTGCAGTTCCAGTGTCTAGTCCTTCCTACAGCTGAGAGGAACTTCAGTGTGGGAAATATCTAAGATATGTCTGGTTTGGGTAGGGGAGACTGTCTGAGAAACAGATAAACTTTCTTTCAACTGAGCCCCAACTCACATCCTTTTTCACGAATCTTCTCTGAGGGTTCCTCTCTTCCCCACCCTCTGATGTCCTGGAGAAGCTCAGATACAGCTCTCATGGGGAATGAACAAAAAGCATTTGCCCTGCAAGCACATGTCAAAGATCACAGAATTCCTCCCCTAATGTTCATTCCCAGGTTCTTACCTGTGAATATTAGATGCACTTGCAGTGACCATGACGCCATAACTCATCAACACCAGCACAAAAAGATGTATGGAGTACCTTTACAACAGAAAGAAGGGGAAGAGGTGGGGAATACAGTAAATTCTAACATACGACCCAGGACAAACAGCAAGCGATCCACTAACGCAGACTCCTGTAAGAGTAAATACATCAAAGTGATGCTATGCAGAACTGAAAATACTGCATCTTGAAATGACACCAGAAGTCAGGACATGGTGCACCAGTTGTAGCCCTAGCAATAACCCAAATCCATACCTGTAATGCTCATACATCTTCCATATCCATATGTAACTGGAGGCCCACAGACTGTTCTTTCGTTGTGACTTTACTTTTTAAGTTACAAAGTTATTTTAAAGAACTAATACCAAAATCACACCTCCCCAGATATGAAGGTTTTTTAATACTGTGGCTGATTCAAAATATTCATCTTTTTCCAATTGTTTGTGGCAGGATTAGGAGCAGTATTCTGGAACCTTCAACAAACACACAAATGTTCTTAAAGATATACTTCTAGAAATATTAATCACTAAAATATTTTCCCCAGGAAGCACCACTCCTTGTTATTTGCTCAGCTTATCTAGAAAAGTGAAATCTACTGGTTTTAGCAGGTATGTGTACTAAGTTGAGTCCTCAATCTGTTGTAGACCAGCCCACAGTCCCTAAGGCCTGTACCAAAACCTTCAGACTGACGCCAGCGTCTCCAACAGTACTGCAAGAAACAAATCAATACCTGCACTAGCATTCCATCAACAGACCCAAGGAGGTCTCCAGAGGTCTAATTTTAATTTTTAAATTCCCAGCACTCACTTTGGGTGAGCAGTTCCAGGTCCTTAGTATAAATGAAGGATTCCCATAACATTGCTGTCATTTTACAATAAGGTATTTACAACATTCACAATCTCAAAAGCTTTTCAATACACATGGTATTTTACAATGCCATATATTTCTAACCAGGAAAATCACCACAAAACATCCAAATGAACATTAGAATTTACACAGCTCATACTCACCAGCCAAAACAAAACACAGCAAAATAAATGCCCAAAATGGTGGCCATTGCATGCCGGACCACAGGGCTGGCTTTCCCTGGATGCAAGTAGATCCGGAACCAGAAAGCGGTCAATAAGGCAAAGAGCTGGCATGCCACAAAGTTAACCTGTGGAGACAGAAAAGAAAGACCTTTTACTGTTCTGCCTGTATGTAAATATGCTTTCTGTTTTCAAATTTCTATATCAAGATGCAGCTCAGCAATCATGGCGGCACATGCCTTTAATCCCAGCACTTGGGAGGCAGAGGCTGGTGGATCTCTGTGAGATTGAGGCCAACCTGGACTACATAGCAAGTTCCAGGCCAGCTGTGGCTGCAGGGAGATGGGAGACCCTGTCTCAAAATAAACAAAGAAAGGAAGGAAGGGAGGGAGGGAGGGAGGAGGGACAGTACCTTCACTCACGAGGTAAAAAAATGATAAACCTAACAGTAGTCCCTTCTCTAGTCCCTTCAAGCCAGTCCAGGCTGCTCTCCCTCTAAAGCTTTTAGTGTCAAGGTCAAAGGTGCCAGGGAGGTCTGTTGACTGGGTCTTTTCCAAACTTTCAGCTGTACCCTAAGAGAAAGAGTATGCTCTCTGATGCCCTTTGTGTTGGGGTATAAATGCAAAATGTCCCCCATAGGCTCATGGGTTGGAACGTTTGAGTCAGCAGCTAGTGGTGCCATTTTGGAAGGTTGCAGAACTTTCAGGATGTGGAGCCTCAAAGGAGGAAGTGGGTCATTAGGAGCAAGCCTTGCTTGAGTCTTTATAGCGCAGCCCCATGTCCTGTCAGTCCTCTGCTTCCTGACTACAGACACAAGGTGACCAGCAGACCCATATTCCTATCACCATGCTGTCTCTCCACAAAGGACTGTAGCCCCTCAAACTGTGAGCCAAAATAAACTCCTTCCCCTTTGTTTCTTATCAGGCACTTGGTCACAGCACAGCAATAAGAAAAGAAACTAGGGGCCGGAGAAATGGTTCAGCAGTTAGGAACACCGACTGCTCTTACAGAGGACCCATAGGATTCCTAGCGCCCACTTGGTGGCTGACAATTGTCTGTAACTCCAGTTCCAGGGGATCTGATGCCCTCTTCTGACCTCTGTGCATATTGCACAACACAGGTACGGGTGCACTTATATGCATGCAGGCAATACAGTCATACACATAAAATAATAATAATAAAATATTTTTTAAAAGAAAAGTAACTAATACACTTTGTCTGGAAACCTAAAAATCCAAAGTTTCTCCAAGGTGATCATTGAACATATTCTGACTTTACTTTTCTTATTTTGGATCAGCACCAAGAAAAAGCAATCTTCAAATTCAAGGGTGACAGGGAAGATCCACAAAGAAACATGGCCCTACATTATACTTCCTGTGATAAATCTGGCCAACTGTGAATGATAGATACCAATTTCCTCAGAGAAAAGTCTCAGTGTTGTATTTCCAAAGAATGTTTTACCTAGAGCCTGTGGGTGTGGCTCAGGGGTGGGGCAGTTGCCCAGCATGTGCAAAGAACTGGATTCAATGCCCAGCATGAGAAAGAAGAGAAATGAGAAGGAAAAAGAAGGCAAGAAAGAGGAAGAGGCGTAAAGAAAGAAAAAGAGTCAGAGGAGAAGGAAACGACAGAGGCAGGAGAAGAGGAAGAGGTGGAAGACTTGGCCTAAAAGAAAACATTAAAAGCAAGGTCCACGGTTCATGCCTATAATCTCAACACTCAAGAGGTAGAGGCAACAGCACTGCCCAGAAACCAGTTAGAAATGTACATTCATGGGCTCTCCAGACCTACTGAATCAGGCCCTTTGTGCATGGGAGCCAGTAACATGTTTGTACAGCACATACCCCCAACATCACATTTGAAGTCCTGGAATAAAAGAGAAAGAATGCCTTATAATCAAGAAGAACACAACCTAGCCAGGCAAGGGCTCTAATCCAGCCCTTGAAAGACAAAGGCAGGGGGATCATCACAAGTTTGAGGCTAGCCTGGGCTATATGACAAGTTCTAGGTCAGCCAGAACTACAGAACAAGACTCTGTCTCACAACCAAAACAAAACAAAACAAAAGGAAACCATTGAAATGTGACTGTGAAGTGCTGTCTGAAATAACAGAGTCCTTGCTAGCCCAAACTTCAGTCGGGTTCCTGCATCTTCCTATAGGTCCATCTGCATCTTTCTTTATAAGATCAAGTTTTATCAAGAACCATCTTCCCCTCCTCTGTCATATTCATGATCACCCTCAGCACCTGGTGAGTCTTCATCCATCACCCTAGGCTCTTCCCTGGGCTAAGGAAGCTAACCTGCACCTTCCATTATCCAACATTCCCCACATTAACACTTGCACAGATTGTGCATAGGATGAACTCGGTAAGTGGCAACTAGGGTAGAACTGTTTGGAATTTACCTCCCCAGCCTTCTCCCTGCCTGTCTGTGCTCAGACTCTCTCCCTCCCAACATTCAGATGGCAGCCCACGTCTCCTGCATCCTCTCCTCTAGGCAATGCAGCCTGAATCCAGGCAATCACCACATTTTCAGCTCCTAAATTGACTTTCATAAACCTATGGCAGAGACAAATCTGAAAGTCAAGGAAGTTTCCAGAAAGGCCCCTGGAAAGGAGAGTGACCTTTTTTGCTATCTAAAATCTTGTTTTCATAAACAGAAGACATCAACATACCCCAAATTCCAACAAGATTAAAGAAAAGCACACTTCTCACAGGCTTCAAAAATGTCAAGACTGACTATGTACATGGAGAGACAGAATGCCCAAGCATGTGTCACGATATTCTTTACTAAATCCTTCACGTTTATAGGGAACATGGGCAGAATTTTGACTTTTCCACTGCTATGGCCTCTAGAGGAGCTGCAAAGACTGCAGTTTGATTTGTGAGCTCCAGCAGCACATTCTCCACAATTGAAGTATTGTGTGGACCCTTCTGCACAAAGACACAGTAGAGGACAGTGATTCTGTTGATCAAATTCCCAAAGTCAAGCTAGGCTGGCATAGTTCACATTCATCAGGAGCTCAATTTCCACAGCTCTTGCAAGATTTCAAAGTCACTGCAAGGAAATCAAACACATGCTCAAGGGTTTACCTTCTTATCCCACCAACACGGTCATGCTGTGCTGTGGTTTTCAGACGTGGCTGGTAAACAGGTCCTTTCTACTCCTGCGCGCTGCTAGAAAGGCATTATTTGGGGATTTCTATCTCATGGCCTTGGTGGATTCCAATTAAAAAACAAACTGTGTCAGGAACTAAAAATACTGCCTTCCTCCTAATTGAAGAGATGCGAGCATGCTATTTTTAACAAATAGCAACTATCACCAGGCCAAAATTATTTTCCCTGCTACAGGGGTGTACCAGCAGTGTACCAAGGAGGGGCAGGGGAGCGTGCAGGCCTAGCATATTTTCCTCAGCAGCGCTGCCTTATATGTGCTAAGACAAAACCAACACAATTAAACAATCCCTGATTTAAAGGCAGGCCGTTCTTCAACCACAAAACAGTGCTGTTTTGCATTGCCCCCTACAAAATCCATGGCCAGGGAGGAGAATTCAAAATGATGTTCCCTTCTGTTCTGCGGAACAAAAGGTACTTGTTCCATACTCTTTAGCTACTCTGCACTTTCAAAAGGGTCGTTATGAGGGCTTCATTCTTAACCCCCTGGAATGTCAGCAAGACATATTTTTAAATCCATAATGAGCCCATTTCTCCCACCCCAACTTTGTGGGCAAGCAAATATTGTTAAAGATGGATAATCAACAGGCATAATTTTGCAGCTAAGCAAACTTTCAACTGCTATCTCCTCTCTTCCTAATCCTAAGTGTCTTGTATTGAGTGATTATAACAACCAGGGACAGTGCTAAGCCTAACATTAATGATTCCTCTGAAGCCTTCTGACACCCTTATAAAGTAGCCTGTACGATGGGGGAGAAAATAAAGAGCACGGTCAAGTGCAATGGCTGAAGTCACACGAAGCTCATGGAGTTTACTTACTAAACTCTGCTTCTCAGCCCTGAGCATTCTCCCCAGAGGCACTCCTATTCAGGGAGAATTTACTGGCTGCCTGTGTGTTCATTTTCTGATGTTACCATAACAAACTACCACAAACCAGGTAGCTTAAACAACAGACGTTTACCATGTCCTAATTCTGGAAGATGGAAGTCTGAGACCAAGATGTCAGCAAAGTTGGGTTCTTCCAAGCCTCACTTCTGAGCTTTAATGACCATGTCACCCTGTGTCCTCATATAATCTGTGTATGAGTGTCCTAATCTTTCTAATAAAGACACTAGTCAAGTCGGATTATGTTCAGTACACCCTAATAGCCCCATTTTCACGTAACCACCTTTTAAAACACCCTGTCTCCAAACATGGTCACATTCTGAGTTTGCGGAGGGGAGGAGGTTAGGACTTCAGCCTGAGAACCCAACCCATAACACTGCCCAATAAAATCCTCTACTCAAACCCATGAGAGGAAGCAGACCTTGCTTCCGAAGGTGGAGAGTAAACAGCCCAAGCCCAAGTCTGTATGGGATGCCAGACCTCATTATAACCCAGAGCCAGATGCCTGGAGGCTACAATGAAAACAGAGGGGCCACCCAGCTGCTGGCCTGCTCACATCCCACCACCTCTGCTGACAACCTCTCAGCTATTCTAGCTCCTCATGATGCAAAAGTCCACTGTCCTTTGGCCTTTTTCACACACACAAGCTTTAAAACAATGACACTCAGCACTTGAACGAAACTATTTTATATGTGAGTACGTGTTCATGTGTGTGTGCATGTACCAATGCCCATGCAGGCATGCACTTGTGGAGGCCAGAGGCTGACATCAGGTATCTTCCTCAGTTTCTCTCTACCTTATTTTTCAAGACAGAATCTCTCACTGAACATGGAGCTCCCCACTTTGGCTAAGCTGGTTGGCCAGCCCAGGGACATACAAGTCTCAGCCTCCCCATCGCTCAGACTACAGGAGGGCACTGCTGCACTGTTTTACACAGATTCTGGAGAACTGAACCCTATGTTTGCACAGCAAGCACTTTATTGACTAAGCCATCTCCCAGCCCAAGAATCAGCATTTATTGGCCCATACATTGTGTCATGTGTATCAACCACTGTCCACTGTCATTCTAAGTGA